AAGATGTTTATCCTCTATTTAATTATGTTTATCCGCAATTAGTTATACGAATTCAAATATCGAGCTTCAATAAATTGTATTTTTCCATAATTTACTTGTAATCTTGAATTTTAAGTAATATGCATCAATAGACAGTATTTCGTGCATAAAAAATTATTTTTAAGAGTTTTTATCAAATGTTTTATAATATATATATATATATATATATATATATATAGGCAAAAGATCGTTGAGAAGTATAGTTAGGTGAGAAGCGAAATAATAAATCTAAACATTTGATCACTTTTAATCACATGTCCACCTATAAATTGTGCTTTAGATTATAATTGATCTGGTACATCTTGATGTACCTCATTAGTGTTGACATCCAATTAGAATTGATCCAATGATGGAGATTTCTTCTTACGTTTCTCATCATAACTTCTCTTCTCATAAAAAAAAAAACCCTCATGATTTTATATAATGAGATTGGTCCTCACATGTTTGTAACATTTATGTAATTCTTTTAGCCCCTACAAAACAAATTCAAAAATGAAATTCTTTTAGTCCCAAAAAAAAATTATGCACCTTCAATTTCAAAAACGAAATCAGTTTAAGCATAACATCATGTCTAATACATAGCCATCCGAAAAATCATATTTTAAATATTTTTCAAATTTATTAAGGGGCCGTTTACTAAACACTTACTTGGTAAGTGCTTATCGGATAAACTTTCTCATCGGATGAACACGAGAAAGGCCAATAATCTTACCGGATAAGAGAGATGAGAAGGATGAAGAGTCTTACCCGGTAAGTGAGGATGACGACTCTTACTCAGGTAAGCGTTTACCCAGTAACTTATTGCATTCGGTATGTTTCGATGTACTAAAATCTTACGCATCAAAATAAATCATAGTGTTGACTTCTATCAGTAAGCGCTTACCGGGTAAGCAATTGGGTAAACTTCCCCTAAGTAACTTTTTGCAGCGAAAGTGAAACTTATGACATTATGTACATTATGATTAGAGAAGAATCACATCAACATTAATTTGTGATCGTTGAATTGTCTTATTTAAGCTTGAGCGTGTAAAATAACAAATTCGTTAATAACATGGTTCTTTTAAGAATAGAAATAATTACTAATACTTCATTTTCACGATTTGCTCTTGTATTGTCAATTTGTCATGTGTCGGTTACTTTATCACTCTGTCCTTCCACTGTTCACCATACTTTAAGTATTAATTCGAACACCAATCAAACACATCTTACATCTTACATATGTGCATGTAAGATGTGTTTGATTGGTGTTCAAATTAATACTGCTATTTTCTCATGGTTACTCATAAATAGACCGGCCAATGAATTAATGTATTTGAATTATATATTTTGGTTGTGCTATAAACAATTTTATTTTTTAAAATATTATTATGTTCACCGTTTAATAATATCCTTACTTACCTAGTAAGATTCTTGATTCTTATCATGCTTACTGGTAAAGTACATAACACATGATAAACGTTTATCTGGTAAGTGTTTGGTAAACGACCCTTTAATAATCAATATTTACCACACAAAATATTATAATTATCCAAATACAAATATAAACAATAATACATAAATAAAATATAATAATCTCATCCATAATACCAACAAAAAGCCGAAACAAAATAAAACATAATTTTGTCTGTTTCATTCGTTTCGATTGAGTCAATTTGACAAGAACCCTTTTTCAACCTAAGACCCGATTGGGTTTGATCGGACTGGGCTCATTAATCCATCTTTTAGATCAGGTTACGTTAATTAATGAGTTCGTTGAATTTATATATAACCCTTCAAAATAAAACCATAAAATAAAACTATCTATATTATATTATAAAACATTTGACAAAAACTCTTAGAAACCATTTTTTATGCATGAAATACTGTATATTGATGCATATTACTTAAAATTCAATATTACAAGTAAACTATGCATAAGTACAACTTATTAAAGCTTCATGTTTGAATTCGTGTAACAAATTGCGGATAAACATAATCAAATAGAGGATAAACATCTCATTTTAAAATATAAAAAATCTAAAATATAATTAGGATAATTATCGAGTTCTAACAGAATCATTATCTTTATAAAAAATTTATCGTTAAGCCAAAAATAAATTACTTCACTATTTGATCTAAATTAAATTATAATAAAAAATGAATTAAATAAATTATATAAAAACAAGAACTTTTAAATAGTTAATTTGATATTAATATTGATATATTTTTTTTAAAATTTATGATGTCTGTAAATTTATTTTTATTCAAAAGTAAAAACATTATTTTTCTCAAAACTACATAAATCGTATTATATCAACAAAAACGAAACATTAAAATGAATATGTATCTAGCTGCATTGTACGATTACCTTTTAGTTTATGTTTAATATAAGTAAATTTCAATCATATAGACATTGACGTCGTAAATGAATCTTTTTAAAATAAACCTTTAATTATTTTCTAAATATTAAAAATTATATTTATTATATATTGAAAATAAATACTTTTTTTAATTGGGTCGACCTAACCATTCGGTGGGTGCGGTTTAGGTCACAGACAAATATTGGCCACCAAACCCTGGTCACTGTATTCGACTCTTAAGTCCCACCTCATAAGCAATTCCATTATACTCTTCAATAAAATCCACACCTAATTATTTTTAAAAATATATAAATTAAAATTCAAATTGACTAAGAAAAGTCAAAAGTCAACACCATAAACTGCTACAAAAATTGACCTTCAAAAATGAGATATTTTCTTTAAGATATATTTATATTTATATAAAATCAACTAGTCAAGTGGAATTATTTAATACCCAAAAATAGAAATAAAAAAAATAAAAAGAAAAATAGAAAACAAATGGGTCAAGGAGCCTCTTGCTTTTACCTTCATTCCTCTTGTAATATTTTGAAGGAATGTTGCATAGAGTAGCAGGGCAACTTTCCACTCCACTCCAATGGTGTGTCAAAATATACAGTTTTTTGGTCTTCTTTATGAACCATCATCCCTTCACTTTCTGCATCTTATTGTCTCTTTCCATATTTAGAAAGAAAAACCAGCACATGGGTCAGAATGTAGCTGACCAGACAGCGTTCTCGCCCTCACCACATCGTCTGTGGACTTCCTTAATTCGGTCGACGGATCGACAAATCCCACTGCACGTCCAGTCGAATGACGCTACGCATATGTTTCCGGCCTGCGCTTTCCACTCACAATCTACACAAACATGTTACATATTTGCTTAAATTAGAAAGTCTCGTTTACTTGATTAATAATACATACGCTTTTAAAAAATATCTATTTTTCTGTCCCGAAATAAATGTCCATATTCTTATTGAGTTTATCCTAAAATAACTGTACTTTCCAATTCTATCTTTGATATGAGAAATTATTCACCTCCTTGTCTTTAAGGGTAAAATTGTCATTTAGAAATATGGACACTTATTTTGGGTGACCGATGCTATTGGCAGAATTAGGAAGTGCGAAACTTTACCAGGCGGGGTCCCACAGCATAGTCTTCGATCATCAATATGCTCAACATCTAGCCCAATAAACCAAGATCCCAATGAAACGTCCTCATTTGCATACTTGTGTAATACGTGTCTGAGACGATTTTTTAACACAAACATCAGAAACCAATACGATAGATAGATAGATAAAGTTTTGATGACGATCGAGCAAGCAAAACTTAACTGGTTTAACGAGATATAAGTAGCCAAATCTTTTGAAATGGCGTATAACTGTCCAGTGGCATGGCGGAAATACTTGTTTCCCGACTCACCGAATTTCCAATATTCCGGTTCATGGTATCTTACTCCTCTGTAACATCATCATACATAACATATATTCATCAGAAAAATACAACAATTTTCAAAGTTTTTCGAAATTATTGAATTCGAGATGATTTTTTGGCTTACTTTTGAGCAAGAACCGGACCAGATTTCATGCATCCGATATATACCCTTTTCTTCTTCCTATGTCTAACTAACGTATGACCTAACGTTGCTGTAATCAAGATTCAAACTCATGTTACGTATAAATAAACCCCGAAAAATCAAACAACAATCATCGTAGTTTCGGGATTAAAGGTGTTATAAAAGTTACCAATGTTCACATGGACATCATCATCAACCTTGATGTAGAATTCTGCATCCCACATAGTGACAGCAGTTGCAAAATATGTCTTTGTCTTTGCAGACAATTCTAGGTATCCTTCTACATGGTCCTGTTTGTTTGCATGCCGGTTAACGGTTAGCCATTGGGGATTTAGTTTAAGGGAAAAAATTATCGAAAGAAGAGATCAAAAAAGCGTACCAGCCTCAAGAAATCGCCGTGCTTTCTGTCTTCAGCTTCAATGGCTCGGTCAAGTATGCCCCCTACCGTGGCACTGTCAAAACATAGTTGCAAAACGTAACGTTTTTTGTGTATTTTTGCAAAAAGAAAAGTCAATCAATCATTTCGTTATGAAAATTCCAAAATAAAAAGCCCACCTATGGCCAATGACAAAACGCATTATAATGCCCTTCTCCTCCTCCAACTTCTTTCTCTTTTCACCTATACAATACAAACAAAAACAGGTACAGAAGTTAAGAGAGTACACCAAGAAGAAAAGGAATCACGGGTACGCAGATAGGACAGAACTGGACAGGTCAAAGTGACATAGGTGGGTGAAACAATTATGGAATGTTTTAGGGTTCTAATTTGACAGTGGTAGTTTAATAATTTACTAATCTTGATTCATCTCCCAGATTTTTATTCCACCTATTTTGGTGGGACTGAAAAAAATAAGTTTTTGTCTCACTCACGTATTATCCTGTTCCCACCATAAGTTTTTGAGTTTTATTCTATCGCGTACCAAACGCACCCGAAAAGAGCAATCAGTTAGACTCTCACAAACCTTGAGGCATCCAAGTAGCGCGTACTGAATCTCTTCTCTTGCGGCTGCTAAAAGCAGTATTAACTCCGACGACCATTAGATACTTTCTCCTCTCAGGTGCACTCCTTGTGTCTTCTTCTGATATCGGAGACCCGTTCACAATAGATTCCTGGATGGACCTAGCTGCCGCCAACTCCATCTCTAAGCTCGATATTGTTTTATCTAATGTCCTATAGTTAAATCAACAAACCCATATTTAAATACACATTTTTAGCAACAATAATTCAATCAAAATTGATACAAGAACAGCTAAAACTCACTGTATAGCCTGATGAGTCTTCGACACCTCCCCAAATATCTGTTTCGAATCTCGCTTTACATTCTTCATCTGTAACTACACGACCCCAACACGATCAAATTTACAAAAACCGTAAACGAGGATCTAATCATAATTCATAAAAGAAACTGTTTTCAAGATTTCTTGAAAATACATACCTTTCTTAGATCACAACCTTCTGATACTAACTTTAGGCCTTCAGATTCTATAGCAGTTGGTCTTGTAATAAGTTTAGAGTCAGACATTGTCCACATTCTGTAACCAATATCCTTGATAACTTATAAATCCAACATCAATTGCAAAGTACTTGTAAAAAAAGTATACATTTAATCAAATGGGCTTGCAATATTGCACTCTGTGACTCTATTTAGTTTTCTTCTAGTTACAGCTACCAGTAATGATATAATCAAGATAACAGTTGCAGAGGCCCAACTGCACATTTATTTCTATATTTCCAAAAAAGGGTATTATTATTATTATGCAATTTGCCATGGTCCACAACTCAAAGCTTTAATTTGTTTCAGAGAAAGGGAAATAAGTGGTCTTTAACTGTAAATTTGTATTCATCATCACTTTGAGGAAGGTACAAGTGATTATCAATTTGCAGAAACTAAAGAAGTGGAACTCTTTCTTCATTAACAAATTACAGTACTAACATGAAGACTAGAGGACTAGAAGTCATAAATTAGATCTACAAATTTGTTGCAGAAATGGAGTCATGGAAGAAGACAATATCTTGGAAAATGACTAAAAATGGAAGGTCCATGAATCATATAAACACAAAAATTTATTGAAACCAAACAGAGTACAGTTTCAGTTGCCATTTTTTGGTGATGAACAGTTTACCTGAACAATTGAAACACAAAATATATACAGTTTCAAAGTATAGTACAAAAGGGAAAAAATATCAAACAGTTGGGATGCATCTTTTAACATGAAGAATATTTCCAAATTAAAGCTTAGTATTGTATCAAGAACAGCATAAATTCTCCATCAAACAAAGAATTAAAAGACTTCTAAATGAATCAATCGAGATCATGTATGTATGTACCTATTGGTGAAGAGTAATCCAGCACAGAAACTGCCGATACATAATAGAAGTGTCCATTTTTGCGATATAACACTTCTTGAAGCCTGCTGATCTCCTCTGCTCTTCATAGTCGTTCTTTCTTTCATTTCTTGAAACCCCACTTCTAACCCAATGAATACGGCTCACTCCACAAACCCCATTTGTCAAACACCCAGAAGAAGCAGATAAATCCAATTCAACAAAACAAACAATTTGAAATTTTAGCTCTGAAGAACGGAGGGAGAGAGACAGAGAGATGTGATCAGAATATATAAAGAGGCACCATGTACTTATTCTCTAGTTTGGACCTTTCTTTATCCCTTTGGTTTTGTTCTTTGCTCTCTCTCTCTCTCTCTCTCTCTATATATATATATATATATATATACACACACAGTATCTCTCTCTCTCTCTTCTCTTTGCAGGGAAGGGACGTCCAACAGAAGTGAGAGAAGACCCACTAACTACTAGCCCTTATACTATTGAAGAATGACTGAATGGTCCCTTATTTTTGTGAAACTTATTTTTGTGGTCAGGTATTAAAGAAGGTATGGCGTAACTGTCTTTAAAGAACAATTAGTAAACAGGGGGATGCTATTCTGACAGCTGAATAAATAAGACGGTGTGTTGGATTACATGGTCCAGAAGATAACATGTGTCCCACTGTCTTAAACACTTCTGTTACGGAATGCTGGTCGACCTTCGACCGAAGTATTTACAAAAATGGTACCTACACTATTCTAATTATTACATTTTTAACCCCTTAACTTTTTCTTTTTTGTAATTTTGATGCTAAAATAAATCTAGTTTTCATTGTCGTATGACGTCAAAAGGTTATTGGCAAGAGGTCGACAAGAAGTGATTCATCATCCTCAAACTTGAGTCGATTATTAAAGACAGCTTGTAGATCAAAAATTCTCGTAAGCTGATTGAGAGGTGGGTCCATGTAAATAATCGGGACCTTGCAAACAATGCTCCTTTAAACGTAAATAGTTAAGGAGTTGTTCGGTTGTTTTTGCATTAAATCTTGTATGGATAAAGTCGTTTGTGTGTACTACTAATTTGTCCATAGAAATTTGGAAGGTTTTTTTTCATAGATGGAATGAACGTGTTTTTTAATTAAGAGAGACAAGTTTTGAAGAAAAAAACTGCATAAATCTCTCACTTAGGGGTTGTTTACGTGCGGCTTAATTAAGCTTATTGGTCTATCTGGCTTATTCGCACAGCTCATTTGGGTTGTTTACTTACGAATTATTCGCACAAAGCATGGCTTAATCGCACAGATAGAAATTGTGTGTTGTCCCCATTCAGCCACAAAAATGACACCCCTACCCTTTATTTAAAGCATCGCCTCTTTCCCATATGAGACACCCCATCTTTGGCCTCTTTATGATTTTTTGTTTTGATGTTCAATTAATTAATATTGGGGGTAAATCGGTCATTTATGTTATTCAGACTGTTGGTTCAGATAAAAAAAGTAAACACCACTCATTTATTCAGACAGACAAATTTATCCATACATGACTTGATAAAAAATTTGGCAAACAGCTCCTTAAAAGCTTACTAAAAATCATTTTTTATATCATTAAACCACTACCAAACAGTCATGTACAACTGACCGAATAGCTGTGAGTCTCATTAAACTTATTAAACTCCTAATAAAAATACCCTAAATATGTTAAATTAAAGTCTTGGACTTCTTTTAATATATTAATAATTTGTATATAATGTTTTACAGATATTATCTATACTATATTATAAAGCATTTGATAAAAACTCTTAAAACCCATTTTTTATGCATGAAGTACCGTTTATTGATGCATTTTACATAAAATTCAATATTACAAGTAAATTGTGCATAAGTACAATTTATTAAAACTTTATGTTTGAATTCGTGTAACTAACTCCAGATAAACATAATCAAATAGAGGATAAACATCTCATTTTAAAATATAACAAATATAAAATATAATTAGGATAATTATTGAGTTCTAACTGAATACTTAATTATTGTCTTTATAAAAAAAATATTATTAAACATAAATTAAGTTACTTCGTTACGTTAAATTAAATCATAATAAAAAATTTGAATTAAAAAAAATACACAACCGATAACTTTTAAATAGATAATTTGATATTAATATTGATATATTTTTTGCAAAATTTTATATGATATTTTCAAATTTATATTTTTTCAAAAATAAAAAACATTATCGTTTTCTCAAAACCACATAAAATAGTATTATATCGACATGAATAAAACATTGAAATGGAAATGTATCTCGATGCATTGTACGAGTACTCTTCTAATATCTTTAAAATATAAGCAGTAATAGGAGCTGTACATAATGATTTTTATAACATTTAATTTTAATATATGTATTTTATTTATTGAAATTAAAGCAAGAAACATATCAAGGGTTAAATAGAATCATGTTAAGTTGGTTGGCATATTTCGGTTCCGACATTATCAGGGTTTGAATCTCCATGTTACATGCCCCTTTCTTTATTCATTATTCCTTTTACTTTTTATTAATAATAAAATAATAATAATAATAATAATAATTTGGTTTTAATCGTTCAGATCTATCTTCAATTTACTGTTCTATATCCAAACTCTGACTCGGTCGGATGTCACCGTAAAATAATATTTGGTCCATATTTAATATATTAAAATTTCAGTAACCAACATTTAAACTTTAATGTAGGTTTTCTATTCTTCACGTTCCCTTCATTTTAATTTTAATTTTTTAATATATTATGATAATTATGAAAAAATTTAATAAAACAAATACATTATTAAATAAATATATGTTAATCAATACCTTAAATTTTTACCTTAGATGATGATAAATCATATAAAAATAGCTGATGTACTCACAATTTTATAGGTTATCAAATGATTAACCTCATGTATATAGGGAGGTACAAATAAGAAATACACAGGTTGATGATATGCGAATAGATGATTCATACGTAAATCATAGGTGAAATTGAACATGAATCTTCACTTATGTATATGCAAATTGATTTTTTTTCGATTTTACCGATGATTCTCATATGAATCATTTACTTTTACATTCTAATTTTTTTTGTATTCTATAGTTGAATTTTCCCCATATACATATATATATATATATAGAGAGAGAGAGAGAGAGAGAGGGGAATGGTGAGATTAATAAGAGTTAAGATGAGAAGTGTAAGAAATGATTTGGACATTTGATCACTTTCAGTCTTAAGTCAACCCATCAATTGCATTCTAGAAGGGTATTGATCTGTGTATCTCATAAGTCTTGATCTAGTATTTCTCTTCAATTATGATTAATCTAAGGATGAAGATCTCTTCTAATCCTTCTCACTAAAACTTTTAGTTTCACCGTAACTCAACCTTATATATGCATTATATATATATATATATATATATATATATGTTGGGTTCATGTGAGAATGATTGTTAAGCTGGGAAACATAAAAATGAATCTCCACCCCTTGATGCACATTAGGATGAGATGCGTTGAATCAATCCATGTATCAAACGCGATTCATAGGTGAATTTGAGATTAAAGATAATCAATAGTCTAGACCTCTTCTTACGCTTCTTACATTAACTCTACCTTCTTACACAATACTTTGCATATTATATATATGGGCAAAGTTCATTTGTTAACCCAAATTATTGTGTTAACTTTGTTAACCAATTTTGACCATTGATCTTTGAAATTTGTGGCTAAGATCATTCATGACATAAAGTGCAAATAATTGCATACATAGACAAGGTAACATAAGTGAACAATGTTTACAAGAGGTATTTTGGAAAAATATTTTGGTTGTCCATTAATAACAATGAGATGTTTTGTAATCGCCCATTAATGACAATGTAATGTTTTGTAACAGCCCATTAATAACAATGTAACTATCTGAGAATTAATCTCGTCATCGAATCAAAACCAACAACAAGATCCCCGACACCATATTCTTCTATAGTTTCTTTTTTGCTAATGGTTCATGTGTGAACAGAGGTGTATTACATGAAAAAAATCGTAAACATTTTTGTAACATCCATGTTTTATTTTAGTAAACACATACACTATGTAATCTTGTTCGTATATGAAATAAATATAGAATGATATTTGGTTCGCCTATGAACAAACATCAAATTATACTTATGAACAATGTTCATGTGTTTACTTCTGAACACTAATCAATTGTTTTTAAGTAATTGGTAATTTGTACATACCCAGTTTTGGTATTTATCCATAATTGTTTGAACGATACCAAAAACTTCACTATCACGTCTCTTCCGCCAATCACAAATTCATAAACATTAAAGATGGAAGATTAATATTACAAAAAATAACAAGATCAATATTAAAAATGCATAAATCATGGATTTTATGATCTTGCAACTCCCAATTAATGATATAAGAGTTACATAAAAAATAAAAAAAAACTACCCATATACCCTTGTCATTAAATTTTAAGATAGAGAAGAATCTACTACTAAGATGAATTATAATTGGTTGAAAATTTTTATAAAGTTAACACAATAATTTAGATTAACATTTGAATTAACCACTCTGTATCTCTCTCCATATATATTTGCTATCATGTGGTTGATTGATTGACTTGGTAAACTAGTGGCCATGTAATTATAAGGTGGATTATAAAGTCTTTACTATAAAGTATTTAAGTTGGAATATTACATGAAAGTTTGTTTGCTTTCTATATCATTATCTTGAGTTTTTTAATGGTAGATGTTAATTATGATGCATGATATACAAGAATTGTAATAAATCATGGAAATTTTGTATATAGGTGTATATGTGATGATTACATATTGTATATCAGAAGGTCAAAAGTATCAGGATGTCTCAAGTTCAAATTTAAGGAGGGATAAAAATCTTCTTGTGGCCACGGAGGTTCAAATACGGTGACTTCGGGCTATCTGCAAAGCAGATGGTCGCTCTGAGATTAGTCGGCTAGCATAGCGGGTTGGATATCCAGGTTAATAAAAAAAAATATGATTACATACATTTAGTATTTGCTAGAGACTAAACAATGGCCATGCGACATATGAAGAAGATAACCATCATACAAAACGTTACTGAATCCAAATTAATTAATGGAGGGATCTTCTACACGTTAAGCTTTAAAAGCAGAAAAAGATCTACACTACATTTGCATATCAATCAAACATTTAAGATGACCACCACTCACGACTTAAAACATGATGCATCCAACCATTTTCTATGAAATACTAACCTCGTGTTAAACCCTACTGGAACGGGAACCAACTCGATTGCTCCATCCAACTGCATGAAAACCAATCACAATTTGGTTTTAAAAACATAGATTTTATATGTATGTATCACGATCAAGCATAAGATTAATATCTGCACAACCAAAAAGCTAGAAAGAGA